GGTTTCCGATATGCGTCCCCCCCAATAACAGACTCCTTCCTACGCCCTTGTTCAGCACTGATACAGGATATTGTGCTTTTTCTTTTTCTTCCAATAGTCACAATTTTCTGAGGAATAGAAAAAAATTCAGTCGCTCCATTGCATAGAGTTGGTGTATTTATGTCCACCCATTCCAAAGTAATTGCTGGTTCTTCCCTTAACCATTTTTTTATTTATTTATTTTTTGCTGTTATTTGTAACAGTTTTATATCTTGTGTCTTCAGTCCGGTTAGGATACAGTGAGGTTCTCCTTCTGTCCAGTAGGGGGAGACATTAAATAATGGAACCATTTCCTGCATGTTTGCCTTTTTTTTTTTTTTTTTTCGGAAATCTTCTAGGTTCTCACAACATTTTTCCAACTAAATTTCCTACATAAATCAGAACTTGAAGTGGTTACTGCAGTTTTCCAAATGTTTCATAAATCTTCTAGGCTGGTCACAATAAGACTTTTTTTTTTGTCCCAGAAGTTATTGAGATAAACGATAATATTGTTTTGAGATCATTTTAATTCAGTATAATGTTAATCACATAATAATGCAAGAACACATTCTTAAATATCAATTTTAAATTCTAATGATTTTATAACACTGAAAATGTAATACATTTTAAATATCCAAAATAAATTAACAAAACAACTTAAAAAACAAATAAAATGAATTATAGAGTCTCTGTAAACTAAAATGGGTCTATTTGAGACCCGAGCACCAGACTGAAGACTTTTACCATCCAATTTTAGGTAACAAAAAGAGAAAAACGAATCTTGCAGATGGAAATTATTGAGCTTTGTTATAATTTATCACACATTAATTGATTTATTGCTCATTGCGACAACCCAAGACACCGGTTAGGACCTTCATAGGACTTGTGCAGAGGTTGACCTTCCAGCAGGGCAACAAACCTAAACCTACAGCCAGATGTTCTCCATCCAGTCTGACTGAACCTGGGTCATTTAGCTTAGCTTGTTGAAATGTGCAAACCGTGCAGGCTTACGAAACTCTCCAAGGTCAGGGTCGGTGTACGGACGCTTCCTGGAGGCCTCGTTGTTCTGTTTCCGCCGCAGGAGCTGCAGGCTCAGCTGGAGGAGGAAGTGCGGAGCCATGAGGAGCAGCGGGAGGAGCAGGCGGCCCTGGAGCGCCGCTGCGCCCTGCTGGTCAGCGAAGGCGAGGAGACGCGCGCGGCCCTGGAGAGCGCCGACAGGGCCCGGAAAGTCCTGGAGACGGAGCTGCAGGAGGCCAACGAGAAGCACAGCGACCTCAGCGGACAGGTCGACACCGGCTTTCTGTTCCCGTGACACCCATTTGACATCAGTCAGACAGTTTGATCCTTCTTTTTTATTTTTATTTATTTATTTTTTTGCTGCGTACAGTTTCAGTCCGCTCTGACAGGGCGGAGGAAGCTGGAGGTGGACCTGCAGGCTCTGCAGCAGGAACACGAGGAGCTGCAGACGGAGATGAGAGGCTGCGCCGACAAGGTCAAGAAGGCCGGCTGCGAGGTAAGACCCAGGACGCCGCCGCCGCTCACGTTTAAACACATCCGCATGCCACAAAACGCTCTGCTCCGTCAGCTGGCGCGAGTCGGAGAGGAGCTGCGGCTGGAGCAGGAGCACACGCTTCATCTGGAGAGGGTGAAGAAAAGTCTGGAAGGCCAGCTGAAAGACATGAGCGGCAGGCTGGACGAGGCCGAGCAGATGGCTCTGAAAGGAGGGAAGAAGATCATCCAGAAGCTGGAGGGGAAGGTCAGTTCCAGAAACACTGATGGTCCACGGTACAGGTGGGCCGGGCGGCACCACGTCGGTGTCGGTACTTAAAGAAACTTCAGGTGTAATGGTAACAGAATAAAGACGCAATTATAGAAGAACGAATTAAAATTGTGAGAAAAAAGTTGTTTTAACAAGAAAGAAATCTAGTATCATTAAATTTATTTTTTTTATCTCGGACTTCGCATAAAATTACTCCTTCATTTTCCTAATATTACGGCTGATTATGTCTGACTTTGTTCTCGTATTATTTTGACTTTGTCAGATGACTTCCTGGCATGTCGTCTTATGATTGTTAAAATGAACAAAGAAAACAAAAATCTGGATCTTTAATATTTTGTCACACCGTTGAATTATATTCAAAGAGAAACAAGATGGCCGGCCTTGGGACATGCTGAAAGTCCAGATTAAAAAATAAACCATGTAATTTCCAATAACCATAAATTCGGCAGCCCTACCTGTCCTCTCTCTGTGTAGCCCACGATCAGGCCGAAAACATGACTCTGTGCAGGTCAAGGAGCTGGAGCTGGAGCTGGACTCGGAGCAGAAGCGTCACGCCGAGACGGTGAAGACGCTGCGGAAGAACGAGCGGCGCCTGAAGGAGCTGCTGTTCCAGTCCGAGGAGGACCAGAAGAACCAGCAGCGGATGCAGGAGCTGGTGGAGCGGCTGCAGAACAAGATGAAGGCCTACAAGAGACAAGTGGAGGAGGCGGTACGCCGCGCCGCTCTGGATTCTCTGGGTGGCTTTGTGCTTATCTGCGTCTCACCATGCGCTGTCGCCCCGCCAGGAAGAGCAGGCCAACATGAACCTGGCGAAGTACAGGAAGACCGTCCACGAGCTGGACGACGCGGAGGAGCGGGCCGACATCGCAGAGTCGGCGCTGACTAAGATCAGGACCAAGAACAGGGGCAGCTTCGGCAAGGGATACTCCTCTGTAAGGGAACAGAAACCGTCTGTTTCTGACAGACATGGAACTCCATTTGTTTCACTGGGATTTTATGTGATAAACCAACAAAAGGTTTTACATAATTGGAAGAAATGGAGTTTTGCTAAAACTGTCTTACACATGAAAATAGTAAAAACTGTCGCATAAATTCTCATTTAACCCTGCCTTACGCAGGAAAAAAAAATAAACTAAAAGTAAACATCTCAAGCCTCAGTAGTTTATATCAAAGCTTATTCATGTGTTAGACTGGCCTAGTCAAAGTCCAGATCTAAATCCTACTGAGAATCTAAATCAATAGCAATATATATCGGGATACACACCTGATCGACTAAAACTAAATTAACCTGATAGAAAGTTCAACATTCAATACATAGAATATTCAATGAACTCTGATGTTGAACCACACAGCATTCTGGGAGATGTAGGCAGAGGAAAGGCTTTAGCTGCTCAACCTCTCACGGCCAGCTGAGCCAGGTTGGGGGCACCAACTAACTTGCTCGCTCTTTGGCTACCCGGCAACAACCTGTTGAGTAACATGCGCAGCAGCAGTTTCATGTTTCACCTCTGTTCCTCATAACTGTTTAAAAATAAAAAAACAACGGCGTAGAGAGAAAGCTGTGGATAAAACAGGAAAATTACACCAGCAATTTGGCTGAATTTCAAATATTAAAAAAAAAAAAAATAAAAAATTTTTTGATATCCACCGATATGAAAGGCTTTTATTGTGATCAGTTTTACCGCCTTATTGTTCCATCCTGGCTATTGTTGCTGTGGAGAACGGAGGAAAGCAGAGGCACAAACCCCAAAAGTCTTCCTGCTGGTATTTGATCCTACAAACTCAGGAATACCAATAATGAACCACACTTTAATGTTATTTTTCTTCATTTCTTTGTTGCGCTGTCACATAATATTTCATTGAAACTCATTGAAGTTTACGGCGGTAATATGGCAAAACGCAACAACGTTCAAGCTACTATAACACTGTTTAATGTTTAAGGGAAAGCTTATGTACTGACCCTGTAGGTGTGTTTGCAGTGTGTTTCTGTTCTGACAGCAGGCCGTTTTCTCCGGCAGGGTTACAGCACTCCGTACCCGGGCCTGGTCCGGTCGCCCAGCTCTGTGGGCTCCGAGGGGAGAGGGGAGAAGATCCTGAACGACGACGAGGCGGTCAGCTCCCTCATTCCAGCTTACCTCAACTCCCTGAAGAAGCTCATGATCGATTAGCCGGACTTTACAGCGCTGCAGCGTCAGCGTGGGAACATCAGCAATACATCACCAGGACTTTATGTTGGGAGTCACCGTCCTGTCCGGTTTCCTGTTGTCCTCCGCCGCCACTGACATGTTCCAGCTTTAATCATTTCTGCTTTTAAACACAACAGAGCTGATTTTTCTTAATGCAAATGCTAACTTCCTGTTTCCTGTTCTCTGCTAAACTCTTTAAAAAAAACAGGTCATCTGTCTTTCCAACAAGTTAGTTCTGATTTAAAATGCTTTCAGGGAGTTTTGGTTGCTTGAGTTGGTAACTCAGATGCTGATATGGGAATGGTTTCAAGATCAACAAGCGATAATTCAATCAATAATCAATGCCCTGTTTCCTATCAATGTTAAGTGTGTTTTCAGTGTATTTTTATCTAAAAGTGTAACTCTGTCCAAACCTGTACCTAAAGCTTTTTATCTAATGATGAAAGGCCTGACCAAATCATTTACTGTTTTAATGTGAAAGTGGCTTCTTTTATAAAATACTTTTCATTTTTTTTGTCTTTTCCTTTTATTTCCAACATAAAACAAATGTTTTGACATTAGATGTAGTTTTAATTATCCATAGCAAACTGACCAACCCTTAATTACCCATTAAAAAAATACATATTTAATTTCTTCTTAAGGGATAAAGTAAAACAAAGCAGTAATACTGTCAGGGTTTAGAAATAATAAAAATTGTACAACTTTTATCTTGGACAACAAATCCATCCAAAGGAACCTCCTTCATTTTTGTTGTGCATTGTATTTTACGTAATACTTTTATACATCTTTAAATCCTTATAGTGTCTTTCTATTTCACATTCTTTAGTGACTCTTAAATGGAAAACGCATTTTAATATTTACAATGGGGCACCAGAACATTATTAAAATAGATTGATTTTGATAAGTAATCTTTCAGCTCTAAAGTGCAAATTCCTGACTGTAAGCCTGCGCGGGGAAAACTCATCAGTACATCCTGTAACCATAAACGTAGGATTTATATTATAGATTTTATAGATCACACAAATCCTGACCGGCTCTCGCATGGCATTCTCCTTTCTTTCATGTGGGAAATTATCGAGATTATTTTATTTAGCTATTTTTATTTTTTTTATTACAGCCGATAGTGACACAGTGTGGCAATATCTAAAATTACACCAGTCAAACGCAATATGATAGACAAGAACTCGGGTAAAGTTAGCCTTCCTGTGTTTACTCTGGACTCCGGTACAGAATGGGCCTGATGACGTCATCAACCCATCGGTGAAAAAACCTCCGTGGGTGAAAAGCATAACCAAAGATGGACAATTTATAAATTATGAGTTTTGGCGTAACACAAACTAATACTTTTTTTAGGTGATAGGAAAATTGCAACATATTTAAGTCAACATCCTCAACTAGTCGAAGATCCTTTTAACAGAGCTAATCGGCATTAGCTCATGTCATGTTCTTCCTCTCTGTTCTCTACAAATGACTGTTAGCCAGAGTCTTTAACCATGTAGTCTTTTTTGAGTAAATTTATTAGTTTTATTACCATCTTTTCATATAAACAAACTGTAAACATAAAGTTGGCAAATCCAAGCTTTAACGTTAGCTCACGTTAGCTAGGTCTCCTTTTTTTAATGGATTACAACAGTTTTTCTCCCAGAAATACATTTACCAGCCCATTCGTGATTAATTCTCAGTAAAAGAGGCATGTTTACTTTATTGTTTTCTTATTTTAGAAGTCAATTCATTTTTAATCATATATTAATAATTCCAGAGGGAAATCACATGTTGTAACTCATATTATCCAAGGTTCTTCAAAGAGTTCGTAGATACTGATGGCTGTGGGCAAGAAAGATCTCCTGTAGCAGTCTGTATTACAGCAGTTCTACAGAAGCCTTTGACTGAAGACAACAGTCTCATGAAGAAGATGCTCTGGGTTGTTGATTTTTTTGAAGAATCCTTTGCAAAATAATCAGCAGATAATCACCTTCTCCATCAGGTTGTTCAGCCATTTTAAGACGGTAAATCTATCATTTGTTTAAATTTAACAAGCCATGAGCTTCAACAGAACATTATAGCAACAGTAAAAATCGCGGCTCCACTAAGTCACATAGATGTTACCATTACTGAATTATAACCTCATCGGGCTTAACTGCATTTAGTTTTAGCAGCATCTGTTCAGTCATGGCAGTTGTCATGAATTAGCATTACACTGTTGCGCGACGTAAAGGCTTCTCAACATTTACAAAATGTACAAGTCGGTGCTACTTCATCATTCACCTCACCTGAGTATCCATTAGGAAACAAATTCCCACTCACAGTTGCTATTTTCCCGTTCAAAGAATCAGTGTAAGTTAAAACAAAACTCTGCCGCCGTATCTCAAACGCCTCGGCGTTGTTCGGAACTTTTCACTCGAATATGTCGTCTTCGTCGGTGGTGGGGGGAGAGGATCGGCTGATGGGTGAAGGTCCGGCGAGCTCGTCCTCGCTTGCTGCGACGTGTGAATGAGTGGGAAAAAAAGAGGTACAGATCCCATCTCAGAGCTCCCAGTCACGTCCTCAGGCAGAGCCGTCCTCACCGAGTTCAGATCTCTATGTCGACAGGCCTGATTTCCCCCGTCTTATTCTCCCGCACCCACACCTCTCTGTCCTTGATGGGGTCCACACACTGCAGGAGCTTATCCACCGGCTCCATAGTCTGCAAAGAAAGCAGTTTTTAACTGAGAACAGGGAATACGAAGCTCCACTGTGAGGAGATGGCTTATATATGTATATATATATATATATATATATATATATATATATATATATATTTTTTTTTTTTTTTTTAAGTACTGCGAAATAGCTCTTTGCTTTTTTTTTTTACGTTTATTTGATAGGGACAGTCACACATCGACATAGACAAACTGAATAAAACAGCAGTCCCATGTTTGCATCATGGTGCAATAGCAACAGCTAATTCGCAGCACTTGTCCCTAGTTGGGCTTTATTATTGAAGTGATAATCATTTAAAATAGCACAACATAATGTATACAAACAGAAAAATGTAAAACATCAAAAATGGGTACAGTTCTGTTTTTGGCATAACCAGAGTTTTGTTTGGTTTTTGAACATACTAAAACTGGTTGCAGACTTTAAATGAACAGGAAGTGAGTTCCAAACTGCAGATCCTCTTACAGACAGAGCACTTTACCTCTGCTGGAGATAATTATATAACGCAGGGAGTCACTTCCATAAAAGTTTAAAAATCAGCATAAGATACTTTGAGAAAAACTGGGAAAAACCTTAAAGGGTATAAAAAAGGAATGCAAGTGATGAATTAGTGAGTTAATCCAAAGTTAACTGGACACTTTCTTAATAACCCCAGTTTTCTCTTGTATCAAGAGTCTGACCGTCTTTCCATAACATTAAAGGCTAAATCTTTAAAAAGAGAAACCTCATTATATTTGAACATTTCTTTGTGTGAAGTGTGTTAAATACAGACTGAATAAACAGAAAATTGTAGTCAAAATCAACCGTGTTTATTGGCATTGTGTCTTTTTCGATCATGTTAAACATTTTTCTCCGTTATCCTCGTCTTCGCAGCACAACAGACATTTTTGGATGAGAAGTCGACGCTGTAGCACTGCTGAATGAAGTGCTAGTAAGTTGATAACTCAAGGAACTTGTCGAATGGTTTATAACTCAAAACAGAAACGTCCCGCACCGGACTCTACTTGAATCGTTTCTCTTTCCTGCTCCGGGACACTCTGCCATCTTTAATTCTGTCTTTGCTTAAGGATAACAGGTGGTGCCGTCTTCTGGAGTAAACTCTTGGCAGATGTTACTAGTTAATCGAATAAAACTAATTTTAATCTAATAAACCATCAAACTTATGTTAATTAATTGTCTGGAGTTTTGCGGGCCACTGTGTTCTGCACTCACACTTTGGTTGAACATGTCCGTCTCGTGGCGTAGAGTTGTGTACTGACAGAGGTGCTGCCTGATCATCTCCACCCGCTCCACCTCCAGTCTCTCCAGCTCCTGATGAGGACGGGACAAAAACACCCGAACCTCTGTTTCAAACAGCCCCACTTCTCACACACACACACACACACACACACACACTCATCCCAAACTGGTGTGTCCTTACCAGGCTGGTGGTGACCATCTCCTCAAACCACTTGGACTGAGACTGGTTATACAGGTCGACGCAGCGCATCAGATCATCCCCTGTTGGAGGAGGGAAAAAAAAAAAAAAAACGATCATACATATAGGAGTTAATTCAAGAAATACTACTGGGCGTACTGGGAGTGGTCTATGTAACACAAAACATCCAGCAGGTGGAGTCACAAGACAAGTTATCCCTCCAAGTGTCTGTCACACTTGCAGACTGTTGCACAGAACCTGCAGCTCAAACTGTTATTCCAACGCAGGGCAGAGGATAGAGTATAAAAAGGGGTGATGACACATCCTGCATCCTGTTGACAACAGAAATAAACACTCATCGTGAGGGAGATAAGATCAGGGAGGAAGTGATGCTGGTCAGAATCTTCTGTCTTCAGCGTTAGCTTGCGTTGTCTATAAATGAAAGCTTGCTAAAAACAAACAGTGAGGGCACCATGGTAACTGACTTCAAACACGTCCACAACAAGCTGCTTTTCAGAATGCGTTTAAACCTCGATACAGATCTTATTTAACTTGCTGTAAGAAGGTTTGTGTAGCCATTTGAGTTTTAATGGTGTTCGGATCATGAATTAGAAGGAAAAAAGTCAGATAAGCAACAAAACGTGACGTGTTACACACAGAAATCGCTGGAGGCACCATGCATAAACACAAGGAGGTCATTGGCAACAACAATCTTCAGTGTGGACGCCGTTACTGATAGAAGATGACTCAAATGGTACTTTCCCAGTAGTACCTAGTAACGACTCGGCTCAACTTTACACAGGTTGAGGAGTGGGTGGGGTCATCATGTAGTTGGGCTGCCTCAGAGTTCGAAAAGTGGAGAGACGAATCCCGTACGAACACAATTAAACAACGGAGGACATAGAAGCCATATTGGACATTTGGCCCAGTCTGTGGCTTTTTGTCCCACTCAGTCGCTGTTGTGAATTTCTACAGAAGGCTGGTTGTGACTCCAGCTGTGACTCCTCCCACTAGCACAGGAAAATAGTATTTCATGGCCCAGTCAAAGTCCAGAGACAAAGCAGATTGAAAGACTGTTCAAACAGATGCCAGCAAAGCAGAACAGAGTAATGTTCTAAAGGTTCTCGGTTCTGTCTTTTTCAAGTTTGTATTCTGGTTCCTGGAACATAATAGTTTGCAGTCAACGAGATCTTCTGACAGCTTAGCTAAGAATGTTCTCGTGTTAAAAGACACAAAAACAATAAACTCAAAGAAGCTACTAACATTTGTTTATCCACTTACCGTTAATACAATGGTAAGATTATGTAATAAAGCATAAAAATCTAAGCGCAAATGACTATTATGAGAGAACAGATGCCATGATTTAGTTGTTTTGGTCGGAGTCTCCTCTCTGGCTTC